CTTCGAAGAAATGCTATCATTTCTTGGTAGCTAGATTGTGTCGTTGTTGGTTGCTAGTATTCTCTGTCGACGATTGACTGTGTCCTATGACTATGTTGGTCGAGCTTAGCTTGCGCTGGACATTGTCGGGTTCCATGTTTGCTGCTGTTGTCCTGGGGACGCTTAGTTCTCTTTCCCTCGATTTGGATCTCGACTTGGATCTGGATGTTGTCTCTTGTTTGGTCTCATTCGCCGCGCGACCACTGTCATTCATGTTCTCAACATTGTTTTGATACCCGAAGCTTCTCTGCTTTGATCATGAGCTCTGTCATGTGGGGCCTTGTCTGTCGCCTTGTAGGAGTGCATAGAGAGGTGGATGGCAGTAGCAAAATTTTCATTGAAGCACCAAAATATGAGCATAGGCCATTGAAGCTGCGCAGTGCTTTTAGATCAGTAGGTTTCGGAAACTCGGATATGGCGCGAAGTTTGGCAGGATCGGGAAGAATGCCTTCTTTGGAGATGACGTGGCTTAGTATAGTCAGTTTGCAAGTGGCGAATAGGCACCTTTTTCAGTTAAGCTGGAGACCGGTATTTTTGGACACAGGTCAAAATTTGATGCAACCATTGTAGATGGGCCGGAAAATCTGGCGAGAAGACGACAATATCGTCTAAATAGCAAAGGCAAGTGTGCCACTTCAGGCCGCGTAAGATGCCGTCCATCATGCGTTCAAAGGTCGCGTGCGTGTTACAGAGACTGAATGGCATTACAGTGAATTCGTACAATTCATCTGGTATTACAAACGGGGTTTGGAGTGGTCAGTCTCGGCCATGGGCACTTGCCAGTAGCCAGAGTAGAGATTCAAGGAAGAAAAAAACTCCGCTCCTTGCAAGCAGTTGAGTGCGTCATCAATGCGTGGCAACGGTACGCAATCTTTCGGGTAATCTTGTTAACCTGGCGATAATAGACGCAAAATCATGTTGTGCCATCTTTCTTCCGGACAAGGACGACAGGTGATGCCCAGGGACTGTTAAAAGGTCGAATGACAATGCGTTTCAGCATGTCATTCACCTGGTCATCGGTAAGACGCCTTTTGCTCTCTGATACTCGGTAGAGATGCTGTCGAATGGGCGCATGGCTTCTGATGTTGACAGTATGCGAAACAGTCGTTGTGCGGCCGAGTGCCCTCGCTTGGCAGTCAAAAGAGGAAGAGAACTCGTCGAGCAAGTGAAGAAGTAGGTCTCGTTGTGTCGTAAGGTAGCTATATAGCTGGTTTGAAAGATCGCGATAGTGGTCGAGGAGTTGATGTCTCGACGGTGGCAGTGGGGTCATCTATGGTGTCGAATATCGAAAATGACGCCAGCAGCTCGGCTTTGCCGAGTGTTTCCCGGGGGCACAACGTGATTGGCTCGGGCGATGGATTGGTGATTTACATCACAGAGGCGCCTGAATAAAACTCGAAGACGGCAAATGGCAGTGGTGGTGATCGGCGGCGAACTAGAAGTGCAGACGGTGTGAAAAGCACTGAGCCGCCGTCTTCAAAGTCACAAGAGATTGAGACAAGAACAGTAGACTGGGCAGGCACAATGGTGTCGTCACAAACTGTGATTTTGGGACATGTCTCCTTGTCATTAATGACGTCTGTCTAAAATTGGAACAACTTGAGTTTAGCGTGGGCGCAATTGATGATCGAACGATATTTAGAGAGGAAATGCCACCCTAATATGACTTCGTGAGAACAAGATGGCAACACAATGAGTTAGATCACAGAAAGAACAAACATCCTGCATGACGACACAGGCTGTGCAGGCACCAGATGGCTCGATGTGCTGCGCGTTGGCTATACGAAGGGATAGTTCAGAAACAGGCGTCCTGACTTTTCTGATACGGCGGCAAATGCGGGCATCAATTGCTGAAAGGGCAGCGGCGGTGTCGACAAGGGCTCGCATCCATGTTTCTTCTAAAGTGACTTCAATTAGGTATTGGGGAGAAATTTGAGGCCTTTTGCATTTCGCCGGAACCGCAGTTCTCGCCTCCTGAACTACGCTACTTAGTTTTCGTGGCGCACAGGGCTCCGCGGTCGGTGCATGGTAGAACGGGAGCGGCCGTGAAAAGAAGGCGAGCGGCGAGAGGAGGGTGGGGTCCGGGAAGTAGGATCACATTCGTAGTCGTCCGAATAACTGTGGCGGGGTTGACGTGGTGCATACGTGTCCCTTGGTAGATGCACACTGTTGGAAATATGCGGTGCACGAAACCGACAGTATGGAGCCACATGTCCACAATGAAAACAAATAGGATGGTTGTCTTTCATGTGCCAAGGGTCGTCGGCTCGTACGTTCTGTATGACTAGGCGGGCGGGCGGCTATACTGGCGAGCAAATAGGTAGACTACGTGGACTGTAACCTTGCAGCACAGGCCTATAAGTGACTGCAGCGTATGTCAAAGGAGGAGCAGTTGGAGCCTGATGGAGAGAAGGTGGGACTTTTTCGGCGACCTGGTCCTTGATGATGTTTTGGGGAGCGGGCGCCAAGGGGAAATTTGACTGGTCGTCAACAAGCGGCATCAGCGAAAGCTGGCAAGCGACCTCTTCACGGACGAAATCCTTGGTCTGTACCAGCAGAGATAAGTCGTCAGCAGTAACATCCAACTCCGACATTGAAGTCCCTTGTGGATGAGAGTGGCGCGTGGCTGTGTGTTGTTTGCGCAGCTCATTGAAACTTTGGCAAAGACTGACAAGTTCAAACACTGTGGACGGGTTCTTTGCCAGCAGCATATGAAACGCGCTGTCTCCAATCCCTTTCAAGATATGCCAGATATTATCGGCATTGGCAATTGCGAGATCAACACGATTACAAAGTCTACGACGTCTTCAATGTAGCTGGTGAATGTTTCACCATTCAGCTGTGCATGGCCATGCAATTTTTGCTCGGCTCGAAGCTTGCAAACAGCGGAACGCCCGAATACTTCAGTCACGTGCTTATGAAAGCAGCCCATGTCGGGAAGTCAGGTACTTGGTTTTGATGCCACACGCTGGGGACGCCGCTCAAACAAAATGACACGTAATGAAGCTTCGGGGCGTCGTTCCAGCGGTTCATCACACTTATCCGTTCCATTTCATCGAGCCAGTCTTCAACATCCTATTCTTCTGTACCGCCCCGCCGCGGTGGTCTAGTGGCTAAGGTACTCGGCTGCTGACCCGCAGGTCGTGGGTTCGATTCCCGGCTGCGGCGGCTGCATTTCCGATGGAGGCGGAAATGTTGTAGGCCCGTGTACTCAGATTTGGGTGCACGTTAAAGAACCCCAGGTGGTCAAAATTTCCGGAGCCCTCCACTACGGCGTCTCTCATAATCAAATGGTGGTTTTGGGACGTTAAACCCCACAAGTCAATCAATTCTTCTGTACCGCTGAAGATGGGTGGGTCGCGTTGACACGGTGGCCTGGCAGACCAATGTAGGCACCAGGACAGCAGGTTGTTGCTGCAGTTGATTTGGTAGTTCATCCGGCATTGCAGAGGCTGGCTTGAGTGTCCGGTTGCAATATTCCAGCTTGTTGCTACCCAGCAGCTCTACCACTTGTTACGGGGTTTATTAACGTACACAGCGGCTGGGAGGATAGTAGCAACAGCAGGCAAGACGTAGCAAGGGAGCGAACATCCGAGCGAGCCAGGCGATGGCAATACGCTTCCGCATGTGTCTATGCTCTTCCTCACAACTGGAACAATGCTAGAAAACCGTGAACTGTATTGTCGCGAGTTCTGTAGGCCTGCGTTGTGCAACAGTGAACCGCGTGCTCGTTCGGCAAGCCATCTAGCCGCAGCAAAGTTGTTCGAAACAAAACAACTTTCTTTAGGGAGGGGTAATGTAGTGAAACAAGAATGAACAAGACGAGAACAGCGCTGAATGCGGCACACCATGACCAAAAAGAGAGTGCGTGGTGGTGGCAACGAAGAAAAAAAAGAAGCTAGAAGCTGGGAGCATGGCCACGCAGACAAACAGCATTCAGGAGGCAACCCAGGCTCGTGAGGGCTACTCGGGACTACCGCTTGGAAGCCTCCTGACTGGTCATGCTACTGCGACTGCTGGTGCCTCTGGCATATCGGTCGCGCCGTGCGGGTTGCCCAAGCCCGCTGCACTGTCGGTGGACCGGCCGGAACCAGCAAGGTAATGGGCAGGAGTCATATATGACTCCTGCCCATTACCTTGCTGGTTCCTGAGCGGTGCCATGCCTACCTATCTGCGCAGCGATTCTGTCACCACTCGCCCTGCAGCATCTCAAGCTATAACTAGTCTTCCACAATCGGCTACTGAAGGTCGACCACTGACCTGCTGTAGAAGGTGTTAGCGCTCACTTAGGACTGTATATACTGTATATATGTCGCGTGGGGGATCCCTTTCTGCTGATGGGTGTATTATCGCAGGAGTTCGTTTGCTTTGTTAATATATATGTGCATAGTAGACAACATCTTTGCCTCCTTTCTACATCGCACCGCACATAAATCAAAGTGATGGTCTGATATTGACTCACTACAATAATACAGTGTCAGTGAATTTTTGAGTGGTTTAACGCGAAATTGGTGTATCTGTTCTACCCGTCCTTTGTATAAAGTGTGTACATAAACAGCGCAACCTAGAAGTACTTACAGCTTAACTAAGGACACAAAAAACAAGGATAGAAAAGAGCGCTGTAACGTAGTTACGCTGTAAGTACTTCTATGTTGCGCTGTTCAAATAATCAGTTATGTCCTACCAACCTGCCCAAGTTTTCATGCTGTATGAAATGTGTTTGTTTTGCCACGGCTGTCACCGATCTCTTTTAATGCTATCGATTGCAAGCACTTCGGGATTAATCGTGGCCATATCAAAGTGGCACGATAGGAATGCAAGAAATAAAAGTCATTTGCCTATAATGTGGTCTCTAATCACCGTCTTGAATGCATAGTGTATCAAGCACTGTGCCTTAGTGTTGTGTTTGTTGAGAAGACAAAACTCCTTTTTCTTTACCTGTGCATTTCTTGCGTTTCCAGGCACCACTGCGAAAATTCTTAGAGAGGCACCCGGCGACTGCTTTGGAGCTTTTGCTTGCAGAGCCACAGGTGAGTTGCCACCATCTTTATGTAAAGTGTGCACACTTGCGTGCCACCAAATGTGCTCACATAATGGTCTTTCTTCTGTACTTTGGCATGTCACATTTGTGTTGTATGCACAACCTCGAGACGTTGGGTTGTGCACCAGACTATTGCTTCATTTGGACTGCTATGAATTTCATTTGTCATTGTTGTTCAGCACGTCACTATGGCGCACTTGTGTTCATTTGGTTCATGCTATTTGGAATAATTGGTCACTTTGGTTTCGGCCAAATGATGCAAGCCCTCAGCTTCAGTAGGCATTCATTATTTTGGTTACAGAAGAGTCAGACAATACAGACTTGGCAAGTGTGCATGCCTGTCCAAAATACTGGCCCAGCAGTGGTGGTGTGTTGCCTACCCAATATCATTTGTCACAAAGTATCAATTGAGAATGGTAATTGAAATATTTGAGTGCTCACTTGATTTCAGTCAGTGCATTTTTTTCCAAGAGGACACAAGACTAAGCTGCTTCTCCAACAACCTCAGACCAAAAAAAAGGGGGTAGATTGTTGTTGTGCCAAGTATTACATCATACTTGGCTTTGTCACTCTCTACTTTGGCAGCTTACTCAACAGAGATTCATGCCCTGCGGCGGTAGTCTAGTGGCTAAGGTACTCGGCTGCTGAACCGCAGGTCGCGGGATTGAATCCTGGCTGCGGCTGCTGCATTTCCGATGGAAGCGGAACTGTTGTAGGCCTGTGTGCGCAAATTTGGGTGCACGTTCAAGAACCCCAGGTGGTCAAAATTTCCGGAGCCCTCCGCTACGGCGTCTCTCATAATCATATGGTGGTTTTGGGACGTTAAACCCCACATATCAATATATATCAACAGAGATTCATGGGAACCTGGCATGATTGCAAGTTATGGCTGATGACCCATTGTGGCCCTTGCAGGTGCAGGACGAGCAGCTGAACCGCTTTCTCGAACACCTGCTGCGAGATGGCGCTACATTCCGGGCAGCACTGCAGCGCAACACTGGTTGCATCGATCGGCTTGCTCAGCTGCTCGATGAGGGGGGTCCCGAGCTGCAGCGGCTGGCGGTGCGCATCGTGGCAGCAGTGGCGCGCCGGGAGCCTCAGTTCTTGGCTGAACGGCCTGCCCTGGTGGCACGAATGCGAGCTGTTTGGATCTCGGACAGCTTCCAGACTGCGTGCGGTGCAGCTGGCCTGGCCCAGTGGCGTGAACCCAAGCTTCTTTGTCGCTGCCTGCTGGGTGTCGTGCAAAAGCGGCCGCACGAGATTGAGCTACTCTTTCAGGTGAGTGCTTCTTTTGTGGTCCCTTGGACGAAGCAGCTTCATGGCACTGCTCATTACCCTGATGCACAGCATTTGTTGCTGCGTGAAGCTGATCATTCCTAGTTTTGTGCAGCACATCGCTGTACTGGGCTGACGTCACTGTTGGATCGCTTGCTCTCACGGATTACAGGTTCGGCCCCACGCGATGACCTCAGTCAGATTCGAAAGAGGAGCAAATGTTTATCACAGAAAACAGGCGGCACTCTAAAATATATACAAATGTACAAATAATAACTGCAAAGCAACTGGAAGGTAATACACATGAAATCAATAACTCAAATGTCCTAATTAGGGTCCAAAGTCTCGCCTTATTTTTTTTCAGCTCTCTTGGTCTGGCCTTTGTGATGCCGCTGACCTGGTTAGCTTGTTGCCAAAGTCTGGTCTGTTGTAGGTCCTGTGCTGTGAAAGGGGTTCGTCCAATGTACTCTTCACGCCGAAGCCTAGCTAATGTTCAAGCCGCACACAGTCGTATCATGCACGAATAACGCCTCCTATTCGTACCTTGTCTCATTGCAGCTACGTGGGTTTGGGCGAATAAGGCAACATTCTAGGTCAACAAAACGACACTTTATTGCTATACGTTAGCAATGGCGCGTAAATGTCGCGAGGAGATACTACAGAAACAAGAGTAGACGTTTACTCGTTGGTCATTGTCGTCCTCGGCTCGCAGGGGGTTGCGGGTTCGACCTCCTTCTTCCTAGTCTGGTGTCAAAGAATGCATGCGGCCGCCGTCCGCACGTTAGTTTTATTCCCTGACTTGGTTTCTCTTTCCCTGACTAGAATAATACGTTCTCTCGCTGAGGGAGGGGAAACCAATCTGCGTGCCAGGAAAGGGGGAATAGCAAGTGCTGGCTGTGGGGGGGTGGTCGATCCCCTCTCATGAGGCCTTATTGACTCTCGAAGGGATCATCATGTCCCCGCAGCCAGGCTGTCGCGCTGCCGTAAAAGGGAAATAGAAGCTGGGCGCACGTGATCCCCCACAGCTGGCAATTCGATGCGTCCATCGCCACCTAGTACGTCCCTTTCAAACTTGTAGTACTGTCGACTGCTTCGCACGGCGTAGTCAGAGTCCTTCAATGCTTTTCTGGTCACGAAACTCCGCCGTCACTCTATGGGAGAGCTTCATACGCTGCCCAAAACTGCCGCGATGCGGCGCCACTGCGCCACAGAGGGCATCGTTCGGGCTGCTCGCGTACTGAAACAGACTGAAACGCGTGTGCACAGCGAGACAAACTGGTGGAAGAAGCGTGCGTGCGTGTCCGAGTTAGCCAAAATGTTGTGAGACGACGATGCCTAACACGTGTTGCGTGCCGGGGTGCCGTTCCGGCTACAGAGCAACGACCGAGAAGGTGTCGTTGTTTTCTTTTCCACCTGACAAGGACCAGCGCGAGAAATGGAAACTGGCCATATCGCGGCAGGAAAGTGGCGACTTCAACTTTGAGTCCAAATATACACGTGTGTGTGCGAAGCATTTTGACGCCTCGGACATTGTCACTACTTATGATTTCAATATCAACGGCGACGCCGTGTCCCTGGAGCGCGACAAGCCAACGCTGAAGGCTGACGCTGTCCCAAGTATTTTTGGTGGCCTTCCTTCGTTTCTCACGAAGCGTAAACCTCGACCCCGCTCATCGACAAATCGATCACCGCGCAAACGAGCACGTGAGTCGTCGTGCGAGACGGAGGAGCAACGAGCATCGCCGACGACCTGTTCAGACCGCACCAATGCTGCATCAGTGAATGAAGGTATGTAAGCGCTAGGCCAGATTACATCCGTGTCGTCGTGTATGAGGGTATCGTCTGAGCCTGTAAATTTGAAACTGCATGACTTGTTTTTCTTCACTCCTTTTCTTCTTCCTTTTTTTCTTTTTTTAGCAGATGTGGCACTGACCAGTGAAACGGTCGAAACCTACCACACGGACACAGCTTGTCAGACAGACCGCTTGGTTGACTGCGCCAGCTGTGCAGCAGTGCAAAAGTTGAGGTGCCAACTTCGAGCTGCGAAGCAGCAGCTTCGGCAATGCCAAACAAAACTCGGCGAGTTCCGAAAGAAGACTGCCAAGTGCGAACGACAAAACAGCAGGCCTTCAAAGACTTTCCGATCGCGAGAAACTGATTATTGATCAGTGCGTGATGAAGGCAAACGCGAAGTCTGCAAGAGCCGTACGGTAAGCTTCAAGCACTACTTAACGAATATGTTTTACGTGTAAAGGCGATGGAATATTCACGTGGTAATTTTAGATATTCACCAAATTAAAAGCTACATATCCGTTGTTTTCTGAGCAAGTGTCGGCTCCATTCAAAATCAGCTAAGCGTTCAAAACTACCATGAAATACGTTTTCTGCTTGAGTCCACCTTTACTGCGCTGACTCTAATACTTTAAATCATGAAACAATGATTTTCGTCCATATAAAAAATGTGCCCTTTTTACTACTACGAGTGGCTTATTCACACCCTCATAACCATGTTATCGTGATGTGTTGATCTTTTTTTCGCACCTTACTGCTATTGTTTTGAGCACGTTTATAAACAGACAGTGAATGATTGTTCTTATGCGCAGTTTCGTTGAAAACTTGGAGATCCAATGTGCACTTATTTTCTCTATTAATTGTTCTGGATTGACAATGCACTATAGATCTGTGTCATTTATAGTGGCCTGCTCTCATTATGAAGGTTTTGGCCTGCATGTTGATCAGGTTTCCACTGTGTACACAGTGCAATGTGCATGTTCACATTACCCCTTGGCATGCAGTTACACTTGGTTAACAGCAATGTGTCTTTTTGCTTGATAGCATTATGGAAGCACTGTGCTAGCATGTTTGTGCATGTGAATGAGATTTGCACCCTTTCCTTACCAGGTATAAGAAAGACTGGTTATATGACTGCCTGCTTTTGAAAACGAAGTCCACATCTGTGTATACATATCTCCAAGAGAACAACTTTCTACCCTTGCCAAATCCACGCACACTCTACTGCTGTATGAAGAGCTTGAAAGCCGATTTTGGCTTTGATGCGCATGTATTTACTGTGCTCAAGGAAAAGCTGCTCACTTCCCCTGAAAGTGAACGACGAGGTTTGAAAGCACATCACTTAACCTGAATGCTGTGTGGTTTTGCCTTTCTGAAGTGATAGAAATTAATTTTTTTTTCTTTCAGGTGTGCTCGTGTTCGACGAAATGAGTGTCAGGAAAAGTTTGCACGTCCGAGAGTCTGACATGAAAGTCGTTGGTAAGGTTGACTTTGGAGAACATACCAGGCCAGCAGACCGTGAAAAGGATGCTGATCATGTTTTGGTCTTCCTGTTTCGACCCTTTCTGGGGGGATGGTCGCAGACTGTGGGTACCTTTTGTGCATCAAGTGCTGCCCCGGGATCAATACTTGCAAAGCTTGTGCTTCAGTGCATTGTACACTTGTGTAATGCTGGCGCAGTTATAGATGCTGTGACATGTGATAATTCAACTACCAATCTACTTGAGGTCCTTAGGTAAGTGTTTAACACACAAGCTCTGCTGCAGACTATCTGGAAAGGTATAATTTATTAGTTGCTCATTTCTTTCAGGAATTCGTGGTGACATGAAAGACCAGCAGGTGTCGTTTCAGCACCCATGCGACCCCTCTAAAGTGATCTATGCTATCATTGATCCACCACACATATTTAAATGTATTAGAAATAACCTGCAGAAAGTTGGGAAGTTTTTGGTAAGTGAAATAATTACTGTTCCTGTGATATAGTCACTCATATGATCTCATCTTGAGTGACATTCTGACATTCCTTCTTTCTACAGCTGCCTCAAGGTCGGGAAGTGAATCATGATCATTATGCAGCACTTCTAGAGTATGAAGAGCAACAGTCAGGGCTGCGTGCTGTACCAAAGCTGACGAGGGTACATATATACCCAAACGCTTTTCAGAAAATGAGCGTCAAACTTGCTGTTCAAGTAAGGCGCCCAACACTCAAGTGCACTTAGAAAACAAAAAAAAATTGCCTTTTTGATGTGACTCACAGTGAAGTGCAATACAAAAAATTTCTTTTCAGCTCTTCAGTGAATCCACAGCTACAGCCATGATATTTTACAGTGAGCAGGAATCATGCAAAAAGCTTCACGGGTCTGCGGGAACATCTGAATTCACCAGACAAATGAACAGATTGTTTGACTGCTTGAACTCCCGCAGGCCTGAACACGTGCAGTACAGTGAAGCTGAGCATGTTGACGTAAGAATTATTACTTTGCTCTTGCACACATTTCTGATCTCAGGCTAAATTCTTTCTTACTTTATAGACACTGAAAGAGGGAATCTCATGGTTGGACAGGTGCTGCAAATACATCGAAAGTCTGCCAAAGCAAAGGCAGGTCTGCTTTTTAAGCAAGCCCACCTGTGAGGCGCTGAGAATAACTTTGCTCAGCACGATATCACTGGTTGAAAACCTCCTTGCCTCAGGGTTTCGCTACGTACTGGTGGGAAAGTTTGGACAAGACCCATTAGAGGTAAGCATGTGCACGTTCTCGCTTGATAGTTAAATAGTAATCCTTATTTTTTCTTTCAGAGATTTTTTGGCATTATCAGGCACGTGGCTGGTGACGGAGGACAACCAACAGTCCAGCAATTTCTGTTCATTTATAGAATGTGAATGATGATAAGCGAGGCAAAGAGTTCGTTTGTCCATGCGTTCGTGTGTCTGTTCATTCGTCCATGCGTCCAATCGCGTTGGAGAATGCAGATGGCGCGCAGGTAACACTGACGAGACGTGAGCTAAGGAAGCCGAGCGCAAGCGTCTTCAAGGCATCCACCGCTCTGCTTCGTCCATGCCCCACCAACGATCCACAGCGTATGGTGGCTATGCAGGAGACTGAGAGAGGCACTTGTTCTCAGCCCACTCAAACAAAGCGCACGCAGCAGCCAATCAGAGAGTAGCTGAGCTTTGGAGAGTAGTGGCAGAGTAACACCATTTAGGACATTTAGGAAATGAGACGAGAAGTCATCATCTATTTCTTCTGCCTTGTTTTCTTTCTCGTCTATTCTTCTCTCGGTTACGCGAGACGGGTCACAAGGTTAGAGAAAGAGGAACTTGAGGTGACCTCGCTACTCAACGTAGCGGAAGATCACCACGGGTTCAGGCTTAGCGAGCCACTGGGCCGCGTCTCCGTCGCCTACTCACGTGTGGCACCGCACCGCTCCGCGCAAGCTCAACTAACAAAGCGTATAGCGCAGTGCTGCAAAACAGACAGTGTTCAATTAACGGCAATACATAAACACTTAATCACCTTTGGTGGCACCCCCAAACAACAGTACAACATCCGCTCCCGGGACGCAGGGAGCAAAAGCTCCCGCAGGTTCACTGTAAACAGGAGACCGTGAGCACGTTGCAGCTGGCAATGGTGAGCTTTCACACGCCGGACGGGAAAAGCTGCCTCGCAGCTATGCTGTGCACTCTCATGATGGCCACTGGGCCTGGTTGCGAGAGTTAGGTCAAACCTCGTACGCGTAGGCCTACGGCAAGTGCGGCTTGGAGTGGTGCGACCCCTTCAAGCACTAGGCACCGCTGTTTGGCTTAGTGTACGGTACCGAAGCCAACACTTAGGTAAACACGCCCGCCGGGGATGCCTAGGCACGCAGGCAGGCTACAGTGGCACCCAGGCAGGCTACAGAGGACACAGACGAAGGAAAACCACGTGCTTACCGGACGCTGGCCAACAGAGTAGAGGCCCTTTCCGGCGCTCACATGACTCGGTCCTCGCTGATTTTCGCTGCCCCAGCGAACACCATCTATTGCAGCCCCATGCGTGGCAACATCTATCGCCATGCGCCGTTAACAGAGCACGGAAAAGTAAAGGAGCGGCCGTATGGTAAGATGCTCGCGAAATGGTCGTGGGCGTGCCTCAGATCTCTACAAAATTCGCCCTTAAATGAGGGATTTTTTCTGTTCCAGTTGCGTTGGCACTAACCATCACTGTGATGTGCTCCTTGCTCAGCTTGACGCCGGTGCATGAATCACCTGAAAATGCCAGAGATCGATCGGACAGCATTTTGAAAAACAGCCCTGTCTCGTTGCGATTCGGGGTGTCTCAAGGAGCATATTCCTCAATGAAGGTTTTGAGCTTAGTGAGAGGATAATCAGACAACAGCCCGACCTGACGCTTCGCTCTCACCACTCACTTTTTTAAACAAAATTTCGCGCCTTTTAACGCCGCACAGCCATCTATTCGTAAACTTGAAATTCTCGATATCATTTTACGAGCAAATGCCTCGGCCTTTTCTTTTAACAAATCTCCCGACAAGGGCAAGTTCTTGGCCAAAACTTTTTTCAACCACAACTGCAGGACCTCTTCAAGGGCTGGGTGAACTCCCTAATGTCGTTCTTCTTGAATTAGTTGCTTGAGCTCTCAAATGCCGTCAATATCTTGATATGGTTTTTCAGATAATCGAACACTGTTTGTTTGGAAAGGTTGTATTCCTTGGCTACATCAAGCTGGGAACGCCCAACCTCGATATGCTTGACAATTGCTTTTTTCTCTAACGTCAGGGTCGTGTACTTGCCATACTTCTTCACACCACTCGCCTCTCGCAATGACTGGGATAGCGGAGCCATGGCGTAGAGGACATAAAATCTGATACTGCACACATGAAAAGCACAACATGTCTTGATGCAACACATACCGAATGGAAACCAAACCAAAAAGACACACAAATGAACAAACAAGATATTTCTCCTTCGCCGCTTAATCTGCTAGCTTCGCTCATCGCTGTACTGTGTGATGACGATAGTGCTGACTGAAAACGAAAAGGTGGCATCTCTTGCACGTTAAAGGGCCGCTCACCAGGCCCCATACCAAATTTTAGTTACACAGTGGAAGTTGTTGGGTGTCCGATCAGGAACCCAGCACAAAAATTTTTTGAATCGGTTTATCACAAGCCGAAAAAACGAGTTTTTCGAAGTGACTCGTAACGAGGATGAGAGGAGGCGAGCTCGAAACCCTTGTTACTCCTCCGCGTTGCCTTCGCAAGCCAAATCTCTTACTCACCCTCTCTGGCATCCGACCAAGAGGTGACGTGCGCATGACGTGCCCAAACTGGTCCAACCCCCGAGCATGCGAGCGGCGTTGCTTTGTGGACCAGCGTTATTTTGTGGTCTTTTGCCTGTTTCTGCAGGATCGTTTGGAAACACTGGCTTAGACGCGGTAGAGTAGATGAGCACAATGAGTGCGCGAACGCGTAGGAGCGTTCCACGGCGGTCGTCTGCTCCATGCGCTGACCGCGAGGACACAAATGCATGCCCAAACACTGTGGGGTCTCGGCAAGGCGAACGCGCGCACCGCCACGCCACGCTCTCGGAGTGAACGGACACAGTTGACACGATCGGTACCAAGCACACCACATACATACATTTATTAACTAATTTAGACGACGATATCGTCCGCCGAATGATACAATTTCAATTAACACTAAACCATACAAACAACATAATGCAGGGACGCACTAAACACACAATAACATGATAAAAACACACTAACACACCAACACACTAGCACATACCCAAGGCGGTGTCGCCAACGCCTGACCTTCCACGTGGGACCCCGGCGCGAAGCCGAGCACCGGGGGGCCCACGCGACAGACAACCGTTCCGCGGCAGCCGCCACGCGCAGAAGAGGCTCGCTCAACGCTCGCCCGCCACCAAGGCCCGCCTTCCGCCAGGGGCCACCGCCGGCGCTACCACTCTACCAACAGTGGTACTCAAAGCGAACACAACGCCATCTATCGCCTGGCGGTGGTCACCACCAAAATAAAGCCATGGGGCGAGACACGTGCGCCACGCGGCGCAGACAACTTTACAGGGGGGGGTGTCAGCACCCCCACATTCCCCCAACCTTAAATCAAACCATATCCCGAAATCAAAAATTAGCTACACAATCTTTAACAAAAAAAAAATGATATCGCACGACCCTAATGTCCTTGCCCCACGACACCACCGCCAGTCGACGCTGCTGCACTGTCCGGCTCGACTTCCCCTCAGTACCGGTCCCGCAACAGCAACGTTGCCGTCGGCGCGACGATCCGTCGCGAGGGCGCCGGACTGCAGGCAGTTGCGCAGGTCCCAGGCATCTCCATCGCCCGACCTCACGACCGCATTCCTGGCCAACGACGCTGACGATGTGCAGGACAGCCGGCCGTGGATGACATCCCTCCCGCTGAATACATCAACAAAAAACAAAACTCGAAAGAAACAAAGGAGCGCGGCCTAGGGGAGGGAGCTTCAGGCTTTTCGGCCACGTGGTACGGTGGTCAGTACTGCTAGCTAATACATCGGTGGCGGCCGAGACGCCCATCAAAATAAAACAAAAATCACTTTTCCTAACTCATGCTCACAAGAAAAAAAAAGTGAGGGAAGCAGAGCGCAACACCTCAACGCCACGATCCACCTAGTTGTGCCACGTGCGACAGGCGGCTGTGCAGAGCCTTAGGCCTAATGAGTCGCTCGGCAACAACCGGCATCCACCCAGCACCCAGCCTAGGCGCAGAAGAGGCAGCCGCGAGGAGGCGTCCACTCTGTGAGGTGGCCCTATCGCTCGCCGCACACAGCAGCTTACCGAGCGATCGGCGTCCACCGCCCCGGGCGGTGTCACGACGCCTCGGCATCGAGCCGCAATACAAGTCAGCAACGACGCCCGGCTCCCTGAGCCCCAAGAGATAGAAGAAGCTATTTACAGAAAATCGGATCACCCACGAGGCTTTCGTACTCACTCGCTTCGGGCCTGGCCTACAAACCACGTGCTCTAGGCCTTGCTCACCCCAGGATGCGGACCGCATGGCTCTCGTCCTAATTCAACAACGTTTTTGAAAACTAACAACAACAAAAAAATAACAACACTTGTGAGCAAAAAAAATAAATAAAAAGTCAACCTGCCGACCAATTGAAACACGTTACAAAACCAGTCTCCTCGCTTCTCAACAAAGCACACCACCGACGCTAGCAAAGAAGTCACCCCTAGGCCTACTCTACTCCGGCTCTAACAAAATCCCTGTACTGAACCGCAAAAATTGTCGTCCGATACTCCAAGAGCTCCACGTTGGGCAGCCAGTGTGGGGTCTCGGCGAGGCGAACGCGCGCACCGCCACGCCACGCTCTCAGAGTGAACGGACACAGTTGACACGATCGGTACCAAGCACACCACATACATACATTTATTAACCAATTTAGACGACGATATCGTCCGCCGAATGATACAACAATTTCAATTAACACTAAACCATACAAACAACATAATGCAGGGACGCACTAAACACACAATAACATGATAAAAACACACTAACACACCCAACACACTAGCACATACCCAAGGCGGCGTCGCCAACGCCTGACCTTCCACGTGGGACCCCGGCGCGAAGCCGAGCACCGGG